CGGCCCCGCCTCCTAGCCGGCCCCGCCTCCTGGCTGGCCCTGCCTCCTAGCTGGCCCCGTCTCCTAGCCGGCCCCGCCTCCTAGCCGACCTCGTCGCCCAGCCGGCCCCGCCTCCTAGCCGGCCCCGCCTCCTGGCTGGCCCTGCCTCCTAGCTGGCCCCGTCTCCTAGCCGGCCCCGCCTCCTAGCCGACCTCGTCGCCTAGCAGGCCCCGTCGCCCAGCCGGCCCCGTAGCCCAGCCGGCCCCGCCTCCTAGCTGACCCCGTCGCCTAGCGGGCCCCGTTGCCCAATCGGCCCCGTCGCCTAGCCGGCCCCGTAGCCCAGCCGGCCCAGCCTCCTAGCCAACCCCGCCTCCTAGCCGGCCCCGCTGCCTAGCCGGCCCCGTCGCCTGGCCAGCTACGTCGCCACGCCGACCCCGTCGCCTCACCGGCCTCGTAGCCCAGCCGGCCCTGCCTCCTAGCCGGCCCCGCCTCCTAGCCGGCCCCGTCGCCCAGCCGGCCCCGTCGCCTCGCCGGCCCCGTCGCCTCGCCGGCCCCTTCGCCCAGCCGGCCTCGTCGCCTAGCCGGCCCCGTCCCCTAGCTAGCCCGGTCGCCTCACCGGCCCCGTCGCCTAACCGCCCCTTTTGCACAGCCGGCCCCGTCACCTCCCCGCCTAGCGGCCCCGTCTCCTAGACACCTCGCCGCCTTCATCGGCCCTCTGCACCGCCCGGTACCGCACTGCACCACCCGGTACCGCACTGCACCGCATTGCACCGCACTGTACCGCTCTGCACTGCACTGCACCACTCTGTACCGCACTGCACCGCACCCTACCCTACTGCACCTCCATCTACCACACTGACCAGCTCTGCACCGCACACCACTGCTTCCCGCCGCACTCTGTCGCCCAGTACCGCCTTTCTGCTGCTGCAGCAACCATGATGGCGGAATCGGTCCTGCGTTTTGATGCAGAGGGGCAGCGGGTTGAGTTTGACTCGTGGCTCGTCGACCTCCACCGCCACCTGACTAGTCAGTGGCAGGACGGCCATTCCCTGGCCGTCCACATCGACGGTACGCTCCCCTTCCCGGACCCCCCTGCTGCTCTACCCGCTGACCGTGAGTCCGTTGCTGCTGTTGCCCTTGCCCATGCTGTCTGGTTGTCGCGTGACGCGGTCGCACAACTTGCGATTAGTCATGCCCCCCCCTTGTCCGAGCGCCCCCACTTTAGGTCAGTCAGGACTGCGCAGGAGTTCCTAGAGGCTGTTGTTGCGCGCTATTCCACCCTACCCTCTGCCTCCGTCGGTCGCCTAATCCTGCCCATGCTCTTTCCAGATCTCGCGTCATTCCCTACTGTCACTGACCTGGCTGCCCACCTGCGCACGCTATAAACGACCTGGCGCGCTACCTGCACTGAGGCCCAGCTTCGTATGTTTCAGCCCCCGATCTACTCTACCCTCTACCTGCTTGCCATCCGCCTCCCTGACCGCCTTGCCACCGCCCGCGATCACTTCCTTAGTCTCCACTCCGCTGACCTCACCCTCACTGACTTTGTCGACACCCTGTCTGCCGTAGAGACTCGTCAGCGCTCTATCGCCCAGTCTAGCGGTACCGTGCCGGTCTCTATCTTTCAGGGCTGTGCCCCTGCTTAGTGCACCTACTCTGACGGTTCTGCTGCGGTTGCTGAGACAGCTCATTCTGCGGAGACAGCCGCCGCAGTGCAGTTTCGTCCGGGTAAGTGTCGCCGCCCCAAGGCTGGGCGCGGCGGAGGTAGCGGAGGAGGGGGTGGTGCTGGTGGTGGAGGTGGCTCACCCGCTGGTAATACTGATGAGGGGGCTGGGGCTGGTGCCTCGGAGCAGCAGCCCCAGCAGCAGTAGCAGTAGGCACCACCGCTGGACCACCAGCAGCAGCAGCTGCAGCACCCGCAGCAGCAGCAGCAGCAGCCGCAGCGGCGGGTCGGCCGTCTCCCGCCCGGGTGGCCTGGTGCCGGTAGTGACGGTGGTCGCAGTGGTCGTGCGCGTGGCATGACATCGGGTGGTGGTCAGATTGACGGGCGCTGCCAGTACCAGCTCCAGACCGGTCCTCTCCGCGGCCTCGTGTGCGGTAGGATCGGCCATACCCCCACTCGTTGCTTCCGTCGCCTAGACGACCTGTTTCGTCTCCGCTTCGGCCCGTCGCCTGACCTCCCCGACTGGCAAAGTCTGCTCCGTCGTGGTGTTAGGATCTTTGATATGGACGTGGATGAGATTAACTCTGCTTGTATGTGCTGTATGTCGATGACTCTAATGTGACTGGTTCCAATTACCCTGTGTTGCCTAGTGTAGGTGTGCCCAGTGTGCCTAGTTCAGGCTCCCCTCCTGCGTCAGGCGTAGGATCCCCTGCCTTGTTTAGTCTTGGGTCCTCCCTCACTCCTCCGACCCCTGTCGCCACTGCCGCACTCTCCTTCACCCTGGACTCTGGCGCTTCCCGGTGTTTCTTTCGGGACTCCACTATGCTTACGCCGCTTGCCGCTCCCGCCGCAGTTGCTCTTGCAGACCCCTCCTCCGGTCGTGTAGTCGCCCGTAGCTCCACCACCCTCCCCTGTCCGGCGGTTCCATCGGGCTCCCTTACAGGCCTGCACATCCCCTCGTTCTCCAGGAACCTAGTTGGTGTCGGCTGCCTCCAGGACCTTGGCGTCACCACTACGTTCCTTGGGCACGAGCGGTACGTTGTCTGTACCGAGGCCGCCACTGGTACTCCCCTCACCACGTTCCCCCGGGACCCGGTGTCTGGCCTGTTCACGCTGGACACCACGCCCCCCCCGGTTGAGACGCCTCCCCAGGTAGCAGCGTCTACCCAGGTTGCTGCGGCTTGCTCGTGTCGGTCGCTTACTCACTCGTTGCTGCTGTGGTACCACCGTTTAGGTCACCCCGCTCTCACCCGTCTCCGTCACATGTCCCAGTACGGTCTTGTCCTAGGTCTCCCTGAGTTGTTCCCTGCGCTCTCCTCCTCACCAGCGCCTCCGTGCACACCCTGCGTCAAGGGCCGGCTTTGCCGTGCCCCTCACTCCTCGTTCCCCCCCACCGCCGCACTGCTGCAGACCCTGCGCATGGACGTATGGGGCCCCGCCCCCGTCCATGGGCCGCGTTGAGAGCGCTACTTCCTAATGCTTGTCGACGACTACATACGCTACACCACCGTGTTTCCCCTAGAGCGGAAGGCTGACGTGCCTGACATTCTTATCCTGTGGCTAGTCTGTGTGCATGTGCACCGAGGTCTCCCAGTGTTGCGTCTCCCGTCTCACCCTCCGCTTGTTCTAGCCCCGCCCCCGTTCTCTGACTTCCTTCGTGCAGCGCGTCCCCTTGTTCCTCGTGTCCTTGCCTCTCTTGTTACCGACCCGTCCGTTCCTGTCTCGAGTCTGTCGGCTCTTGTCGCTGCCGTCACTGACTTTGCCGCTACACGACGCCTTGACTACGCTACCGCTCTGATCTCTGACCCTGCCTGCCCTCCGACCGTCGGGGGTGTGGTTGCCCTTGGCAGTGACGTCCTAAACGACAGGCAGTACGCGCTTGCTTTCCTTTCTGAGGCTGCTCCCCATCTCTGCTCCATGCTGCTAGTCCCTGAGGGTGACCCAGACGCCCTTGACATCCCGAACCCTCGCACCTACGCTGAGGCCACCTCGGAACCCTGGGCCTCTCAGTGGATAGCTGCCATGGAGCAGGAGATGACATCTTGCAGGTCCACCGATACCTTCGTCGATACCTTCGTAGTCGATGGCCGGTGGCCCTTCAAGGTGAAGCGCCCTCCTGGAGAGCCGCCTGTCTTCAAGGAGTGCTACGTTGCTAGAAGCTTCAGTCAGCGTGAGAGGGTGGACTTCTTTCAGACCTTTGCCCCGACCCCGAAGATGACTACTCTTCGGGCACTACTACACGTAACAGCACAGCGTGACTACGAGCTGCACTCCCTTGACTTCTCCACAGCTTTCCTTCAGGGCAGACTACACAAGCAGGTCTACGTGCGTCACCCCCAGGGCTTCTCCGGTACCTTTCCCCCTGGTACCGAGTGGCTCCTCTGGCGCCCCGTCTACGGCTTGCGACAGGCGCCCCGTGAGTGGCACGACACGCTGCGTGCTACACTTGCTGACTTGCAGTTCTTCCCTTCGTCTGCAGACCCCTCGCTCTTTGTCCGTTCCGGCCAGACTCCATTCTACATCCTTGTCTACG